GGCTGAGGCGGCTAGGAGATAGCCAGCCAAGCGGCGAGGGCCGGTCTTGGAAATCATATTGAACGATGCTCAGGAATGAAGGTCGATGGTGATAATGAGGATGAGGGTGAATGAGTGACTGAGTTGTGAGATGAAGAACAAAATCGAGTCTGGTCGAGATAGTCGCGCGGTCTTATAGATCTTTGATCTCAGGCAAACCGCCGTTGTAGTACCCAGATGCCTTCGACTCAGAGACTTCTTTTGCTGATCCATTAGTGTGAATGACATCATCCTCAACTCCATTCTCACCATATCGTTTCTTTCGCAGGCCACGCCTCCCCTGATTCACCGTCTCGACTGGCCATGGAGCCGTTCGACGACCTGAATGGCAGTATCAACAACAGCTCTAGCCAGCCGGCGGTGATCGAGTCGGCGACCTCGCCCCATGACGCCGGGACTAACAGCGCCGAAGATCCCCCAGATGTCGCCATAGTGTGGAAATGACGATGGACACTGCCCTTTACAGCTCAATGAGGTAAACGGCAACCCGCCAAGTCGATTTGAAGTTCCGAGTAGGGGCGTCTATCGTGAGGCTGACCCAAGGCTGGGCGCCTGAATGGATGTGATCGACATCGGACTGGAGAAGATCCTATGCGAGCTGTCGATAGTCAGACATTATGCTGCAGTAGCAAAGGGATCAGACATATCGAGTCACCTCTGTTTGTCTGTCGCCGGCAGAGTCAAATGCCGGTGGGGACAAATATAGGCCCAAGAGCGGCAGGGGCGGCCAGAACATGGGGGTCCGTCTGCTGCTTATTCCACGGGGGACGAATCAGGAGAGTGATGACAACCGTTGACCTCGCGGAGGGGTTAAGTGCCGGGAGGTCAAGTGCGGGAAGAATACTCATAGCGTTGCTCATCGCCAGCGTTAGTCTTTCATGGCGTCGTGACTGTCCCGCTGGCCCCGCGGCCTGACGTACGTGACAGGCACACTAGGGCAGGAAATCCAGAGGCTATCACGAATCTTGCGCTCTACCGGTGTGATCAACCCTCACAGTGGCCGGTAAAGGACTGGATGTTGGGAAGACAAACAGTCATGGGACTGAGAAACCTCCCACGTTGATCCACGGCGAGACCCCCATTCGACGACGATCTGCCTGTCAGTCCACGTTCTGGTCAGCTCAGGTCATGCTCTCAAATGCTATGTGTTGGCTCATTTCGGAGAGACAAGCGCTCATGCGCCATGGGTAAAATCCCATGATGCCATCAGGACGTATTCCCCATGAGTGCGGTTCGAAGAGAAGCAACTGGCAGTGCCCCTGACTGTTCCTGAAATAAGACCCCAGACAGCAGGGAGCTTAAATCCAGAGGCCAATGAGATGAAACGAAAAACGAACAGTCATCCAGCGTCATGGGAATGGACATGGAACATGCCGATGCCCTCCCCTGTCCACTCTCTGTGGTGTGAAGTTGCGGTGCGGAGATCCTGCGCACCCAACAACAGCATCAGGTGTCATCCCCACTGAGATCATTGCGCAGGACGCCACAAGGCATTCAATTGCCGTGCCAAGAGTAGACGGCCTGCAGATATTCCCGGCTGGGCGACCTGAAAGTTTGCCCTGCTGTCGACGTCGAAGGTAGATGCGCATGGTAAAATCTTGCAAAGATCGGCCGGCACAGCACGGCACGGACGAGCTAGACCCCACGCGCCACGATGTCGTTATTTTCGGGCCCGATGTCGAATGCGGCCCCGGCGTCCCCCAGGCCTTTTTGAACCGCAAAATCCCAACAGCCACCCGATCGGGCTGCATACTTGCTTTTTGGATAAGTCATCTTAACAAGCCCCAGGGTCTGCGTCAACATCGCTGTGAGACAGCACAATCAATAGTTGGTTTGGTGTTACAATACGGCCGACAAGCAGTGATGTCGCCATCGTCCGCCAGTCAGACCAGCAGCTGGATGGGCGATCGTCATATGCCTCAACGCCGTCTTGTTGCTCTTGGTTGGGAGTGAGGCTGGGCGTGGTGGTGACGGCTCGACTGAGTTCATTCGGCGACTGCGCATGGCGACATTGAGCCTTTCGCGGTGTAAGTCATGATGGTCGATTGCGTCTGCTCGAGTGACACACAACATGCTATAAAGACATTGCCTTGACCGCCCGACAAGGGAGAGAGGCCTTCTGCTCGTCATGCCATTCCTTGCTGCAGATATTGCCCACGCCTTCGTTTTCCGCCCAACATGAAGCTGTCTACTTCTCTCGTTGGCCTTCTCGGCCTCTGCGCCGGTGTCAATGCCGTTCCGCAAAACGTCAAGCGCAGTGACGATGGTGCCCAGTTCGACGTTGGTCAGCCCATCTCTGCCGATGGCAAAGGAGGCCCTATCCTCGGTGAGCACGCCCGCACCTCTTCCCTATCTTGCCCTTTCGTTGGCGACTGACAGCCAGAGTAGGAGGTACGAACAACCAGGTCGACATTGATAACCCAAGCAACCTTGGGCAGGAGTCCACCGACGCCGGCACGGTTCCCAACCTGAAGTGGAGGTTCTCCGACTCCAAGACCAAGCTCCTTAAGGGTGGTTGGGTTCGTACTCAGGTCATCCAAGACCTCCCGCAGAGCCACGACATTGCGGCGGCCCAGCAGCACCTTGAGAAGGGTGCCATCCGCGAGCTTCACTGGCACCGTGTGGTATGTCTTTCCCAGAACGGCCCTTCTTCCCTGACGTCCCAACGCTGATGTGACTTGTAGGCTGAATGGGGTTTCGTCTACAACGGCTCTGTCCTCGTTTCAGCCGTCGACGAGAATGGCAAGTTTGTCAACGAGAAGCTCGAGTACGGCGACATCTGGTACTTCCCCAAGGGCGCCGCCCACACCGTCCAGGGTCTCGACGACCACAACGAGTTCCTTCTTGTCTTTGACGAGGCCGATTTCGAGAAAGTTGGGTACGTGTGATCTGGCGCCGACCCCAAGGAGCCGGGTGAACCAGTACTAATATCGTGGCAGAACAACCTTCAACATTGTCGACTGGCTGAACCACACCCCCCGCGACATCATTGCCAAGAACTTTGGTGTCGACCCCAAGGTCTTTGACGAGCTCCCTGAGAAGAACCCCTATATCAACCCCGCCGACGTGGCCACCAAGAACGTCACCGGCACGGGTCCCGAGGACTACCTCTCGGGCAACAGCTCCTTCATCTACCGCACCTTCCAGCACCCCCCGGAGTCTGTGCCCGGCAACGGCGGCGAGTTCTGGAAGATCGACTCGACCAACTTCCCCGCCAGTGAGACCATTGCCGCCACTTTTGTGACTCTCAAGCCCGGCGCCTGCGCGAGCTCCACTGGCACCCCAACGTATGACAGCATCCATCCACCCCTTTGAC